GTAAGACAATTTTATTTTGTATTTTGTGTTTGTTCGGACTACATAAAATATTTTGTATTTTGTAATTCATGGGAGCATATAAAAATATTTTGTATCTTATATTTTAGTATTAATTTAATTTAGTATTATTTAATTTAGTATTAATAACAAACGATTATGAAAGTATTTTATATTTTGTATTTTAAATACTAACATTGATAATCAATCTTATTACTTGAATTACAAAATATAAAAAAGTTTCAATTTTTTGATGTTAAATACAAAATACGTAATAATACTTTTATGATCCGCTAAAATACAAAATACGTAATACTTTTATGATCCGCTAAAATAAAATAAAAAATACAAAATATGCTTGTACTGCAAATAGTATGTTTTAAATCAAAATATTTCAAATACATATCCTGATATTTATTTTTCTCTTACATTTAGATTTTTATTAAAAATAAATAGCAAATTGTTTCAGGACTTGACATGTATTTGGAATACAATTATATTTTGTGTTTTAACGGAGCGCATGAAAATATTCTGTATTTTGTATTATATGGAATATATAAAAATATTTTATATTTCAATATTTTATATTTTGTATTTCAAATACATGACAATCAATCTTATCTTAATCTTATTATTTGAATTATAGTGTACAAGAAATGGGAAATATTCAGATTTTAGGGGAGATTTTTCCGATGACCTTGACCTTAAAATATGTTATCAAAATCATGAGCCTGAATAATCTCCAACAAGTTTTATTCGGCTAAACAAAGAAAATTAGAAAAAATAGCATCTCATTTCTGTATCTATATATAAAATTAGATATAAGCAAATTAGATATAAGCAAAAACGTACATATATCAAATACTTAAATTTTTACGTATAATTAACCATTCTATTTTATTAATTCTTGCTTTTTAGCAAAATAGAATTTTTTTTGATCGCCGAAATTATTTCAAAATTTATAAATTATAATAGAAATAATGGAATTAACACATGCAAGTATTTCCTTCTGAATTAAAAAGTATTCTTTTGTAAAAATCTTTATTTTTTTTTATCGATATTTTTACAATTTTATTTTTATATGTGTATCACATTTTAATGCTACTTTAGGTGAACAATGGTTCCACGATAGAAAACTCATCGGGCCAACGTTCCATTTTAGTATATTAAATCAATTTGCTATGATTGTGTTTGAAAAAGCAGATATTCTGACAAAGTGTCTTCAAAAAGAGGTAGAAAAGGATCCAGGAAAAGCCATTAATATTTTCCCTTTTATTATCAATGCTGCTCTCGATATTATCTGCGGTAATGTGTCATATTTTTACATTATATATAATTATAATATTTCGTGAGAAAATACGTTTTATTTATTGATATAGTCATTTTATGCAGCAAACTTTATGAATTAATTTACGAATAATAAAAAAAATATATAAACGATAAAGATGCTAGAAGATTTGCAGGTCATCGCCGTGCTTTATTAGGGTGAGGGGCGTGTTGATACTATCTAGTATCAGTGCGCTCCTCGCCCTGTAAAGTGAACGGCAAAGTTCACGAAACATTAGCATTAGCAACGAACAAAAACACGGCGATTACTCGTAAACTTTCTAACATTCTTAAAAATAATAGCCATGAAAAAAGCGTTATATAAAGGGTAATTTTAATTGTATTATTATATGACAAAAGGGTTTATCAATAATAATACTAATTATTATCTTACAGAAACAGCAATGGGTGTGGATATACATGCTCAAGAAGTTGTAACCAAATATACATCAACAGTACACCTGTCAGTTTTTAAAATTCTTATACTGCTATCATACTGTCCAACGCCATTTTCTAATATGAGTGTGAATAATTATTTTCCATATTTTAGCTTGCTCATGAAAAAAATCTGTTAACCAAAATTACGTTACAATTTCAAGAATAATGATATTAAAATGATAAATTGAAGAGTTTTCATAAAATTATAAATATTAAATGTTTTAATTATTAAAAAATGTTTTAATTAAATTTTTGTTAATACTATGCGAAAAGAATTTTTAAAACTTGTTTTGCATTTTGTTTTGTTTCCATATGTTTTTGTTTTCACGATATAGCAATGATAATAATTTTTTTCTCATGTGCGTTACATAAAAAAGACATTTTAACTACATGAAAAATTATATTATGACAACATGCATTTTAAATTTAAATATAATAAATAAAATTTAAAAATTTTAATGGTACTTTCGTGTATCATTAATGGAATTTTTAAAAATTCCCTTCGAGCTAACAATATCACAAAAATCTCAATCGTCATTTTTTGCTTCTTTAATGCTATTTGCCTCAAAATTGTAATATGATAGTCAGCTTCGTTCACAAAACATAAAAAATGATAGAAATCAAAGTCTTAAATGATCTAGCTGAATCTTAAATGCTTGTATGATTCTTGTACGAATTTTTATACTAATATTCTTCGTAATAATTGGCATATGAAGGAACAATATCTCTTTAGTCGACGTAAATAAACAATATAATATATTATATTGTTTACTTACGTCATCTTGTTGTTTCTTCATGTGCCAATTATTGTGAAGAATATTACTAAAGCCTCGGTAGTCTAAAAGTTTAGAATGTTCGCAAGGAATGCAAGAGATCTGGATTCGATTCCCGACCGAGAAAATATTTTTCACAATAAGAATTAATTATTTACAAATTTTAATATGTTATTCAGTATTATTAAGATCGTTTCGAAGATCCAAATAAGCATCAAAAATTTGCTAATCAATTTAACTCATAATATTACTATGCTAGTTTAGTAGAGTTAGCGTTTTCAAGACCGAAAAATCATTTTGGCATGCGTTTCTGAGACCACTATATATGTAGTACATATAAAATCACACAAGAATCATATAAGCATTTAAGATCCAACTAGATTGTTCAAACCTTTAATTTCTAGTTTGTGTTATCACATATATCACCTACAATATATTATATTACATAAAAAATAGTTATTTATATTCGTGTTGCAAAAAATGTTTTGTCGGACAGTATTATTAATGAAATAGCTAATGAATTATTACTTGCATGTAAATGTAATTAATGATAAATTTTAATAATTATTTACACAATATGTTTATACTTAATTATTAAAATTACATATTATGTAGTTTACGTAAGTTAAATAGCAATCGTACTTTTAGAACTTCCTCGTTAATAATGAAACGACTGCATCGACCGTGGCATTGGATTGAATGGTTGTTCTATTTACTGCCTACAGGGAAACAGTTTAAATCAGCGCTTGATATATTACATGGATTTACAAA